TCTTATCTTATCTTATCTTATCTTATCTTATCTTATCTTATCTTATCTTATCTTCCTGCTCCGGACAGAGGGGAGAGAAGAGCAGAGCCTCCAGCACAGCTCAGACCTTTCAGACTATTTGGAATGAGGGAAAACTATRAACAGATTAAGTTGTGTTTTAGACTGTTGCTAACAGATCTATTCTGACACAAAGTGCAGACATGACTGGTTCTGAATGACAGCTTTTCAGCAGACAGCCACTCTCCGCTCTTCCCAGTATTGCCGGACCGTACTGGCTCACCCCTGCTTGTTTCCCTGTCACTCTGGGCTCTGGTGTGTTTGGGGTGTGCTGAGTCAACTTGGGCGGGAGCGATGACTAGGAGTAAATGGGACAGACAAACCCACTACACTTGTGTTTTGCTTAACTGTGGAGAGCTGGGAGAGGGGTTTCACTTGGAAAGAAAGCCAAGCCCAAACAAGCAACTCACATTCAATAACAACCCCAAATAAAGGTGACTCGCGGAATTTACAAGCGACTTTAGAAAAAGAATAGCCCAAAGTCACTTATAATAAGCAGACTTGGCAACACTGGGCATACTTGGAGAAGAGGAAAGAAAYAGACTCAAATATTGATTCAATCATACTAGTGTTGACACAATGAGATACAAACCCTGGTATCAATATTTGGTTTGATTTACTTTAGTTATACAAAAGTTGAATGAAATGTAGCTGATATAGCTGACATGAAAATGACCTGGGTCTGATTTAAAAAAATATCTGATTTGTGACATTCAGACAGTCACAAAAAGAATCAGAAAMAAGTCTCATAATARTCARATTTARGCCACCTTTGCCTGCAGTATGAATGTAGTATAAAATGAGTAGCCAGCTGATATCTTGTGTTCAGACCGAAAAATAATCCGTAACAAAAATTTACAACCTTGACTGTCCATGGTTGACTTAATAAATTTGATTTATCCTTGATCCTTGATCAGTTAAATTTGTTGCGTGTTTTTTTTTTTTATTCAGTAATAATTCCTGTTTTCATCTCTTGTTTTTACTGTGGCAAAATGTTGTTTGGAAAAGTATTTATTTGAACGGGCCTCCACTTGGATGTTTCATAATGAAAAAGTTGGATCTTGTCCTGAACTTTAGGAATCATTTGCCTATGAGTCAAAGCCACTAAAAAATAATTTATAGTATTGTTTTTGTGTGTGTCTATTACATAATCTGTCAAGAGTAAAGTCCTCATTTCCTTGCAATTTATCAACAGACAATAACAGAGTAATACTGAAGTAGGTTGGGTCTCAAATCCTCAAAGCGATCTGACAGCAGTTGACTTTGTGAWTTCAGACTCCTCTGTGTTCTTAAGTGAACAGAGCTTCCTGTCCCCCCACAACTCCCCACCCCCRCAATCAGGCTGATGGGCTTTATGTTTACAGCTTGCAGATTCAGCAGAGCATTTCAGATAATTAAAGTTCGGAAAGCTTTGATGAGGTGGTCCACCCTTGATTTCCCACAGTACCTTGTTTCAAGGGCACAATTTCCATTTCTGCATGTTATTTAGAAAATGTCAACTTTTGTTGAAGCCTTTCAGCCTTTTTGTGACTACTGCATATGCTAGAAGACAGGAAGCTCTGGTCCATGGTTTAGATATTGCACTAAAACGTGGCTTAGTTGTAGCTGAGAGAAGGTCGCCAGTTAACCTCCCAGCCTTTCTGTGTGGAGATGGCATGTTGTTGTACGTGTGTTGGTTTTCTACAGGTACTCTAGTTTCCTCCCACTGACCAACAACATGCATGTTTGGCTAATCAGCAACTCTGAATTGTCCTTAAGTGTGAGAATGGTTGTTCGTTTCATTCGAGTCTACGTGACCCTGTGATGGACTTTCAACTTGTCCAGGGTTGGGCACCAGTGACTCCCGCAACCTGGAAAGGAAAAAGCGATAAAGATAAAAGATAGATGGATGGAAAAAGCTGCTGTTTGTGCTGAATTATTTAGACTTGAAAATACAACCCTATATCTTATTTTTATCAACTAAAAAGAAACAAAACTTAATTTAAGACATTGCGATTTTTTTCTTTGTATTTTTAGGGCCTTTCATTAAACAGTTCTAAGATATGGTTGCATAGAACAGCCTGTGTTTTTGCCACCCTCTGGCTGTTCATTAATCATAAATGGAGCTAAACATGACCAGAAACAAAAATTCTGACATAAAGCGTCTTTGAGGAACCAAAAGAGACATGGAATAAAGCTGAGTTGACATGAGGTGCAACTTAGTAAATGTATCACAGATATCTTCCTCGTATCATAAAAACAGTGATGAAGCATTACATCAGTCTAGTGATTATCTTTGTGGTTAACTAACTTTCTTTTGAACTAAATAGAAAGTTTTCCACTCATCATTGATTTTCCCTTGATAATATATATATATATATATATATATATATTCCCATGACTTGCTGGTAGCACAGACATTATGTCATCACTTCGTTACATTACGTAACAGTGTCACCAGCTTGATTTTTCACATACTGGCTATTTTGCCCAAAAAGAGGCACATCAGGGGCAGGCTGTGTCCAAACCCCACCACCTTGGTCCATTCAAAAGTCAGCCAGAACAACCCTTTCTCACTCCCAACTTGTCACATATTGACGCTTGGTCAGGTACCGTCTGTGTCCAGTTGTGGACGCGTCAGGTACCCCCTCGCATCAGTTATTAACAAGATGAGATGGAGGAGGAGGAGCACGTTGTCATATTTTTGAAAAGAGTAGGAAATGCACGACAACTAACCATCCCAGACCCTAAATTTAACTTCTTGTAGCCCTATACAGCCTATCCCTGACCTCTGCACCAAAAATTAACCAGAATCCTGATCCCTCATATTAACCACAGACCCCCAACACAAAGATCCCTATGTGGACTGTGGGCATGAATGACTGACACGAGGGGAGTACCCGATACAGCAAAACTGGACGCAGACAGTCCCTGACCAAGCGTCAATATGGTGACGAGTCGGGAGTGAGAAYGTATTGGCTAACACATTCTCACTCCCAACTCATCACATATTGATGCTTTTCCAAGGTTCCCTCTGGGTCTTACTTTGACCCGTCGGGTACGCCCGTCACATCAGTTTTTGACGCACCAGGCATTTCCGTCTTCCCTCACCGTCCAGGTTTGACGCGTTGGGACGCAAAATATAGGGGTCTTTGATTTGGGGTCCGTGGTTAATATTAGGGATCAGGGTTAATGGTTAATTTTAGGTAATGGGGTCAGGGATAGGATGTCTAGGGTGAATATTAGTTAATTTTAGGCTTTGGAACACGTAGTTGACATGAATTTCCTACAATTTCTAAAAATGGTTAATTTTAGGTACTAGGGTCAGGGATAGGATGTCTAAAGTGAATAAAGGTAATTTTAGTCTTTGGGATGGTTAGTTTTTGTGCATTTTCTACACTTTCTGAAATTATGACAACGGATTCCGGCCCATCTCGTCAATAACTGACGCGAGGGAGTACTCAACGCGTCAAAATCGGACGCAGAGGGAACCTTGGGAAAGCGTCAATATGTGACGACCTGGGAGTGARAAAGTATTGGCCAGAAGACACACAGGCCTGTACTGTCTTATAAAAGAACTTCTTGTTCTTATTGAATTTGCAACTTCAGCTTGATTCTATAGATTATTTAATATCCTGATCACATGTTCAGGGCATTATTTTTCGGTTTAATTTGTTTCAGTTTAGTTTACATAGTGCCAATTCACATTAAAAATCATCTCAGAACTGTACAAAAAAATTAACAAGTCTAGATAAAAGGCCAATCCACTCCTGTTATAATACAAGACAGTCACATTTAGTATATTATGAAATGACCAATACTAAAAGTGATGTAGAAGTCCACCAGCAGATTTAGTCAAATCTTCACTTGGTAACAGTTCCCATCCTGGACAGACATGGAGGCAACAGTAGAAAAAAATCTACTCCATTTTAAAAGGAAGAAACTTTAACCAGCTGGGGTTTGACAGTCAGGGAACAGACCCAAACAATCACAGAACAATTGGTCCACGTGTAAAACACCATAATTAAATGGTAGTAATAATCACTTGTACAAACCTGACTAGAAGCCATTCTTTGGCACTAATTTTTTACTTGTTTTAACCACAGAGTTTCCATCCTGGACAACGGCAGCCTTCGGATCTGGAATGTCACCAAATCCGACACGGGCCTTTACACCTGCACAGCCAGAAACCAGTTTGGAGTGGCGAGCAGCACAGGAACTGTCACAGTTAAAGGTACCTCCTGCTCCCATGTTGAATTAGATGTTCTCCCTTTTGCAGCTCATTTTATTAAATACAGAACATCTGTTTAAAACTACCATTAAATGAGCTCACATGGCATTTTATTTACTTGAAAAGCAAACCTGAAATGTTAAACAAATGAATGAGCTAATTAGATTGACTTCAAAAGTTAATCAGCAGTGAATCTGTGTTACAGTGCACCAATGATTACTTTTTAAATGGTTTTAATAATATATACATTACATTTTTCAAGTTACAGCCATTTTCGTGTTTGCTAAAATCACATACAGTAGCTGTGGCAGCCTTCATTAATGGACTCCAAACAGTTTTCAGTTRTAATTGTACCACCAGAAACATTCGCCCAGTACAAAAAGTCCTACACATTTCACGCTGTCAACGTCTTCAGTTTTGTAAAGACCAGACATACTGTAGGTTCTGGAGAAGGACAAGTCGTATGGCATCAGCACAAATCTGTAGCAGGATGCACTCTGAGCACTCCCTGCATCCCCGACTTCTGCTGAATTACAGGCATTCATAATGAATGAAATCTGTCTTTTATAATTCAATAGAAGAAGGAAACATCCCTTCATCGTGATTTACAGGAGACAGAGACAGTCTAGGCTTATTTAAAATTCTATTATATGCAGTGTACATTATTTTTGCTTGCAGTTATTCGTATCGGCATAAAACTATGTTTTTTTATTATTCAATCGAAACTTTGGTCTTAGGAATGCAAAACTCAATTAATCTAGTGTTTGTAGGGACTAGCTGGATAACTGAATAAAAAATGTTTTATCAGGCTGATGTGATATTGACACTGCATTTCACCAGATTTTATATACTGCAGCAGACAGACTATTAAATGTACCGAACCTTGGAGCAAAAATCATAAACCGCATAAGAAGAAAGCTCTGGTTTTATTAAAAAATGACTTCAGAGAATGATGGGAAACTGGCATCATTTTAAACCATATAGTCTGGGGTTTAAGGAAGGATTTTGGTCACAGTTTAATTGAATCTTTTCTGTGACCTGTGCATGTCCTTCCCCAGCAGATGAAAGGTTTTATACATTGTACAAGGACTCGATCAATGTGCGCCACATGTTCACACACTGAAGCATGGCCTCTCTCTGCTACTGAATGGAAGGTGTGAGTAAGATCTGACTCATAGGATTGGCCTTCAAATCTTAGATCTGCTGCTGCTGCTGCTGCTGCTGGCGCCTACTTAAAGGGTCAAAAACATTCAAGACAATTAAAGGCCTAGCATTCCTAGAAATAATACATCAGAGTTTTACATTAAAAACATCTTGTGTTTTATAAAATGACAGTATGTACAGTATTAGACAGTGGTGGCTGGTGGATCCAGGGGGTGCTACAACTCCAAAATAGACATATCTCAAAAAGTATTCACTGAGTTGTTTAATGGCAGTGTTTTTATTAAATAAATGAAAATAATAAAACAGAATTACAATGTCATGTAGTGTTTTATTTTATGTATATAAATTTTGCTCTTCTGTAACTGAGAAGCAAATATCTTGACTCTGGATCCTGGTGTGTGATGTTGTGTTCCTGAGGAAAGTCTGGATTGTCTTCAGTGTTRAAGCTCCTCTCAGATTCAGCTGTGGTCAGAGGAGATGTGATGAGAATCTTCTGCAGAGTCACAGTCTCTGAAGGTGTCCTGCAGATTGTTCTCCATTAAGAGCAGCTGGTACAGAGCCACAGCACCACTGCAGCTCCTGAACTAGATCAGACTTCTTGGTCCTGTTCCGCATTGGGTGAGCCTCCATGGTCTTCAGTGCTGCTTCAGAAAGCTGTCCTGCAGGAACCTGTCTGCAGCAGTGTAGCACTGATCAGATGTTTCATGAATGGCTCAAGATGATGTCACAAACCTAAAACAATAAATGCACAAATTTAATTCAATATGAAGATGGCTAAAAGTGAGCTTTCTAATATTTGAAATATAGAAAACAATTGATGTTATTTAATAGCAACAAATTGTTGCACCTCTTAAATTTTTTGTTTTAAGATGT